ACTTCTCTTTCCATTTCTCTCCTGCCCCTCTACATACCGTACCACTGCATCCCTACCAAGCAGTTGGATGGGGGGGGGAAGGGGTCGGGAAAGGCTTCGGGGGGTCTGAGGGGGATCTCTGCATCTAACTTGGCCCAATGGTTGAAGATTAGGTGGTAGTCTCTCTCTATGACTGCTCCCTGTGGACCCTCATCTATCCCCTTTCGCTCCCCTTTCCGTTCCACCTTTCCGATTCTTCCTCCTTCGGGTCCTCCCAGCCAGCTTTTGCAGAATTCTTGTATTTTGTGTTTAATGTCTTTTGGTGATTGCAGATTCTGAATATTTGCTTCAACCATGTCCCATTTGGCTGATATTACAGTTTGGATCTGCTGTATCACACTTTCTGTGAATTCTGGGCCCTCTAGTCTCACCCCTTCCATTTCATAGGTGTGTGACGCCCAACCTCACGCCCAGCGCGACTTCCTGATCGAAGTAGAATGTGGGCCTGGAAGTGCGAAAAGGGGTGTGCCAAGGATTTTTGGGAAAGTGGGGGAGTCTTGAGGGTATGAATGCAATTAAGCGAGCAGGGGGGGGGGGTGCGTGCGCGAGGGACTCAAGGTCAGATGGGGCCGGGGCACTGTGGGCGACGGTTGACGGGGAAATCCCTCCGCTGTGGAGGCGGTCCTGAAAAGTTAGTCCGTCGGGGGTCGCCACGTGGCGCAGGCCGCCGCGCGCTTGGATTGGGCCTTCGGAATTCCGGAGCTCTCTGTTCGCCGCTGCGTCGGCAATTCACGCAAAATGTACCGGGCCAATAGGAGGCTATGGCCGGCCACGGGACGACGCTGAGTTGATGATACGGGAGAAGAAGGCGGAAAGGAGGAAAACTGGTGGTGATTTCAACAAATCCCGGGTGGGTGAAGTAGTAGGTGTGGTCGGGGGAAGGGAAATCAAAGCATCGAGGGTCGCTAGAGGTGGCACAGTGGAACTCCCGCGGACATAGTCGATTCTCCGTGTGACAGGGGTATCGTGTTCTTATGAGCTCTTTATCAAAGGGGTGAAATAGTCCGTGTCGTAGGATGAATCCGAGCCCCAAGATCGCGTCATGGTATCAT